GGGGGGGGGGGGCTGGCACGTGACCGCCCGTCACGTGGCGGTGTGAGGCGGCCGCCGTGCCCGCCCCCTCACCCCGGGCTGGCCAATGGCAGCGCGGCGGGTGCGGCGGGCGGCCAATGGGCGGTGGGGGCGGGGCTTGCGGCCAGCGGCGGGGGGGGCTTGCGGCCGGGACCGGGAGCGCTGGTGGGGACCGGGAGCGCTGGGACACACGGGCATAGCCGGGAGGTACCGGGAGCACTTGGAGCACTGGGAGCTGCCAGGAGGAACTGGGAGTCTCGGGAGGAACTGAGAGTCACGGGGGCCACTGGGAGACACTAGGGCTACTGGGAGTCATACGGACGACTGGGAGGTGCTGGGAGCTTTGGGAGGAACTGGGAGTCACGGGAGGAACTGGGAGGCACTGGGAGTCATGGGGCAGCACTGAGATCCACCGGGAGGTCCTGGGAGTCATGGGAGAGCACTGGGGGTACTGGGAGCCCTAGGAGCACTGGCGTTACTGGGAGCACTGGGAGCACTGGCGTTACTGGGAGCACTGGGAGCACTGTGGTTACTGGGAGCACTGGGGGTACTGCAGTTACTGGGAGCACTGGGAGCCCCGGCTCTGCTGCTGGGCGATGTCGGGGGTCAGCCCAGCCCTGCCCGGGGGGGGTCGCAGGGGTGGGGGTGCAGTGACACCGGGGTCCCCCCGAGCCCCCCATGGGACACAGCCCCCGTGGCCGCGCTGGGCGGGGCGGGAGGTGCCCGCAGCGGGGAAAGGGAAGTGAAAGTGACCGTGACCGTGACCGTGACCGTGATTGTGGGACGGGCCCGTCCGGCACCGCAGGGAGATGTTATCGGGGCGCGGTTGGGGTGCCACACACCGCAGGGTGTCCCGCTCTCCGTGGGTGCCCCCAGCACCCCGGGGTGGGGGAGCTGGCTGAAGTGGGGGATGGGGCTTTCCCAACACATGGCTGAAAGAAGAAGTTGAGAACTGCCTGCCCGCACAGTGAGAAGGGAAACTGAGGCCGGGGGGTTCCTGCAGGTGCCCCCAGAGCCATGAGGACCCTCCTGCTGCTGTGGGTGGCCCTGGCCAGCGCGGGGGCCCAGCTGCCCTGTCCCCAGGGGGGACCCTGCCCCATCACCCCGGTGAGTGCACGGAGTTTGGGGGGATCGGAGGGGCCTCAGCAGGGGATGATAACCCCTCCTATGCCCCCCCAGGCCCTGCCTGCCCGCAGTGCAATGGGGTGCCAGGACCGCTCATCCTGCCCCGCCAACTGCCAGCTGCCAGAGGTGAGCCCCCTCCCCTGTGCCTCAGTTTCCCCCTGTCCCTGCCGTTTGGGGGGCACTCCCTGACCCCCCTGCGCTCCTTCCCCCTTCTCTCTCCCCAGAGTGTCCCCTGTGCCGGGGGCCACCGCTGCTGTCCCCGAGGGTCCCGCTGCAGCACTGATGGGGAGTCCTGTGTCACAGACCCAGGTACAGGGACATGGGGGGGTGGCGGGGGTCAGGGTGGGCCTCAAGGGGACAGGATGGACACGGGGGTGCCTCACCTGTCTCCGCAGCCCCCCGTGCTGTCCCCTGTCCTGACGGCCAGTCCGAGTGTCCCGATGATGCCACGTGCTGTGTGACGGGCAGCGGCGCCTGGGGGTGCTGCCCCATGCCCCAGGTACGGGGTGTGGGGACACGGGGACGCTGAGGGGGGGGCCTGGCACGGCCGTCGCTGTGACGAGCATGGCTGGCACCCGCAGGCCTCGTGCTGTGCTGACAAGGTGCACTGCTGTCCCCACGCCACCATCTGCGACCTGGCCCGCGGGCGCTGTGTGTCCCCTGCCGGTGACACCGACATCCCCTTGGGCACAGCCTTCCCCGCCTGGAAGCGCCTGCCCCCTGCCCCAGGTAAGGGGTGTGCCCGGGGGTGCCCTCGCTGTGCCGGGCCCTCGGAGGGGACTCGGTGACACCGTGTGTCCCCCCCAGTGGCGCTGTGCCAGGGGAGGGGACGTGGTGACACCGTGTGTCCCCCCAGTGGCGCTGCGCCAGGTGCTGTGTCCCGATGGCCGCTCGGCGTGTCCCGATGGGGCCACCTGCTGCCAGCTGTCCCCAGGGCAGTACGGCTGCTGTCCCCTGCAGAACGTGAGTGCTGGCACAGCCCTGGGCACCCTGGGATGGGCAGCTGTGCCAAATCTGTGCCCAGCACCCCAAACCCCCCACCCCCCACTGAACACCCCAAAACAAGCACCCCATGCCAGACACCAAATCCTAGCCATCCTCCACCAGGCACCCCAAACCAAGCACTCCTGTGCCAGGCACCCCAATCCAGCCACCCCTCACTGGGCACTCCAAACCAGCACCCCACACCCCAACACACGTCACTCATCCTGTACCCATCCATGCAGGCACCCCATTCTGGACATCCCAATTCCAAGCACCCTACAGTGATGCCAAGCACCCTATTTTGGGCAGCCTGTCCCAATCATCCTACACCAGACACACCTTGTTGGGCATCCTGTGGTGGACACTGGGCCCTGGGCACCCCAACCTGTGCCATGTCCCCATACCAGGCACCCTGCACTGCCCCACGTGCTGTGCACACCCTGTCCTTGTCCCCAGGGCCCCTGTCACCCCATATCTCTCCCCCCAGGCTGTGTCCTGCAGTGATGGGCAGCACTGCTGTCCCAAGGGCACCTCCACACCATGTCCCATATGCTGTGCCCCCCCCTGTGCCCATCTGGGGCCCGTGTCATGCTGTTTCTCCCCCCAGGCCGTGTGCTGCAGTGACGGGCAGCACTGCTGTCCCCAGGGCACCACCTGTGACCTGATCCACTCCACCTGCACCTCCCTGGGGGGCTCTGCCTCCCCAGCAGCTCTGCCCACAGGTAAGACGCCCTCAGGGAGCAACCACCCCCTGTCCTGTCCCGGGGAGGGGACACCAGCCCTGACTGTCCCCTGTCCCCAGCTGGTGAGGTCAAGTGTGACGAGGAGACGAGCTGTCCCGATGGGAACACGTGCTGCAGGCTCAGCTCAGGGGCCTGGGGGTGCTGCCCCCTCGAGCAGGTACGGGGGTCCCCTGTGCCCCCAGGACACACACGTTTCCTGTCCCCCTGGGTGGGATGAGGGCAGCTGCGTCTTGCTCCACTGAGAAGGACAAGGGTGGGGGTTCCTTATATTTGCCCAAAACAAGGTTTGATGTCCCTGGTCTGCCTGGGGAGGGACAAGGATGGGGGTCCCCTGTGTCCCTCTGGGACTGGGAGATGTCCCCTGTCCCGCAGGAGGGCTCCCATTCCCTGATGTCCCACGGGGGTGGGGGTGACACTGAGTCACGTTGACATCCCCCAGTCAAACCTCCTGTACTGACTGGGACCAGTTTGGGGCTCCACTGGCAGGGGCTGGAGAAGGGACATGAAGCCACCAGGATGCTCAGGGACCTTCCTGAGTCCCACTGAGGGGAGAGGTCAGGAGTGATGAGGGGGGGGTCTCCATATCCCTCCCTCCTCACTGCTGGGGCAGGGAATGGGGACGGCAGGAATGGGCCGGAGGGGACACATTTGTTCTCTCTCCTGTGGAGGTGGCAGTCCCTGGGGAGGGTCCCCTGTGCTCAGCCCCCCCTCTTTGCCCCCCCAGGCCGTCTGCTGCCCCGACCACGTGCACTGCTGCCCCCAGGGCTACACCTGCGACCC